GCTCCTTACTTTCTAATCCATTTGTAAATGACTTTCTTCTTAAATAAATTTTCCAGATGAAAAAGCCCATAAGACCTAATATTTTGCCCAAATGTAGACTCTGCTTTATGGCTGGTTCTAAGCCAAAGCCTTTGAGGAATGACCAGATCAAAGCTTGAATTCAAATGTAAGCCAGTGCCTCGCATGTATCAGAATCTCCATAAACACTGGTTGAAGTATAACATCTTCATTTTGAGAAACAAACAAGAAACAAAGCCAAAGGTTAGGAGCAGAAGGAGTGATAGGACTATAGAGTCTTGCAGGGCCATGACTGCCTGCATTGGCAGAAGAGGGTTGCGTGTATCTTTTTACCTGGAAGTAGAAAGTACAGAGTCCTTATATACCTCTTCCCGCAGGCATGCATAGCCTTCTCTACTTCCAATCAGTCACTAAAGTGAGACATTTGTTATACTGATAAACCCACACTGACAGGTCATTGTCACCCAAAGTACATAGTTTACATTAGTGCTCACATCCAATGGGTTTAGAATCATACAGAGTAGTTTTGCTGCCCTAAATATCATAGGTACATTTTTACAGGGGACATAAACAAGCAATTGTATCCACACCTTTCTCCTGAGAGGCATTTCCCCAATACACAGCCAAAAGACCCTAAGAATTCTTCAGATATTCATGTGCCAAAGAAGAGCCCATGTAGGATCCTGCCAGACATGAACAGAGCCTGCAGTTCCACTCCCAGCATTCTCTGGAGTTTAACTTGAGAAAATAATAAGAATCCTATAGGATCAGCGATTTCACTCATTTGGACTACAGTAAATCTCTTCTATATTACTGCTCGGCCTCTGAGAATATTATATTGGGTCTCATTTTATTAAAGAATGTCGTTCATACCCAGAAGTTGCTATTTAATTTTTAGCTGCAAGATACAATTTTGAAAAACTATTATCTAGAAAGTGCAATAATCAAACAATGTAATCATGAATGTTAAACCTCCTTGGAATATTATTTTAAATGCTTGCCAGCTGGAAGCAAGAGTTGACAAAGAAGTATCTATCTTATTTGGTTGGTTTTCTAATTTGTCAAAGCATCCACCCTTTCCAATAAGATATATTTGTTAAAATATATTTTTTCTCTGCATGATTATTTTGAAACAAAGAATGCACAATCCTTAGACAAAAAACACAGATTTGCATTTTCTATTTGTTCCAGCCTAAGACTTAGGATTAAATCACTTTAAGTGACACAGTTGTATCCTACCTCAGAGGAGCCAGATGGTTCACATACATCACCAATTGCCTCTGAGCTTTCTGGCTGTTCTATGAGATCAGACTCATAAATTTGATGACATATGGAAAATATCAGAAAACCACAGCATGCATATTCAGAGAACCCAGAAAACAGGACTGACATTGTCATGAAAGATCCCTGGTAATTCACCCATTCCTCCCATTGCCTACCCATGAATCTCTTCAGAAAAGGTCAACTGGATATTTAGCCAGTGGCTGGGAACCTCCAGTGTGATCCAGCTATTTCATGGGATGTCTAGTGAGGCGATGGGTCATAGAGTGCTTTCCCAGGGAAACATCCTTTCTTTGGCCTCTGAATTTCGATTCATGCAACTCCCCCCATCTGGAATATGCCTCTATCTCAGTGAACTCCATGTTCTGGCCCCACAGACTTCCCCCTACCCCCTCACCACTTGTTTCCTTGGACTGTAACTTATATGTCTGTCTTCACTATCATGCACTGAACTTCTAGAGGTCAGAACCTAGGCCCATTTTCTTTGTATGACCTGAATTCAGCAGTTATGAACCATAAGCTGGTGAATGTGCCCAGTTGCCTGGGAAGCCTGGGGATGGAGCAGGGACTGATCGTAGCTCTTGGCTCCTCCAAGCGACACTATGGCCTCCATGGCCTTGGACAAGATACTTCATCTTTCTATGATTAGTGTCCTTGTCTGAAAAATGAGACCGAGAATGGTGCCTACTTCCTAAGATGTTGTGACTATTGAGTAGTTTATACATACACTTAAATGAGATTGTGCATTAGTTAGAGCTCAATAAATCTTAGCTAACAAAGTGAGCTGCCCCAAAATGTGAGCTGTCCTTATTTGCTATAATAACGTCATTCCAAGTGACATCATTCCAGCTCCACTGAACTTCCTGCTGCAGCCCAGGTTTCCATGTAAATAAGCAAAGACTACTCGGTTTACTTAGAGGAGTGATTTTCTGGGAGTGTCAGGGACTCTGATAAAGAGAATGGAGATTTTCTTCCCCCTACAGTGGCCTTTTCTCAGCCTTTCAGTTACTGAATAGTGGAGCTTAATCTGCGGCCCTAACACGGAGGGCTAGAAACAGCCCTCACACCTCTCTCCTCCCCAACGCTGTCTCCAAAGAGTCTTTACATGGACTCTGGAAAGCATGAAGTCTGGGCTTTGCCTTAGATAGCACTACAGGCTCCAATGTCATTGAAAGTCCACAGGCCCATGAAGGACGCTGGAGGGCACAAGGAATGATGGTCACGATGGCAATGAGTTGTGACCTGTGGGTAACAGGGAAAAGCCTGGGCTGCCAGTCAAGGTAGAAACTATCAAACTTCCAGCATTTCTAGGCAAAAGGGAAGGGGGTAGAGGTTTGGAAAAGGGATTGGGCATGGGTAGGAGTGTACAGAGATGAACTAGTCATCCTTAGACCCACTCTGCCCTTTGAGCAGTGGGCTGAGAGCCGGGAAGCAACATGCCTGGGTATTGCCTGGGGGTGGCAGGGAATGAAAGAAGAATGAGCCATCCTAGAGCCATGTTCACTGGTAACTCTCCCAAAATGCAGACGCCCTAGCCCCAAAAGGAAGAGATTCTGTGATGCTGGCTCTGGATCCACAGACAGACAGCAGGTGGGCCTTTGGATTGTCCTGTAGTCTTGCTGAGCCTTGGCCTCTCCTATCGTGAAATGAAGTGAATTCAAGCACATCACAGAGCCACTGTCAGTCTCCAACAGAATGAGGCTTGTGGCTTATTGAGAGCTGTAAATCAACATCAAGGATTTTACTTGTAATACACTGGACCCTTGACTTACAAACTCAATTTGTTCTTGAGTGCCGGATGTAACTCAAATTGGTCAACTGAAGGCTCAGGCTCCTTACATAGCCTTCAAGTCTCTCTCCTGTACACAGGCAGATCTCAGTGTCCTTAGAGAGACATTGGCTCCGGATTTCTCAATTAACCCCACACAGGAAGGGATGTTGTAATCTTCCTTCCAGAGCTCTTTAAGGATAAATCTGTATCTGAGACCATCTTGAAGCACTAGTGGCCGGCATTTGGGTCATAACTCAAGATTTTGGTCATAAGTTAAAACTAAAATTCTGGTTGTAACCGAGGTTGTTTGTACATCGAGCCAGTCGTAACTCAAGGATCCACTGTAATTGTATTTATGGTAATTTAAAGACTCATGAGTGAGTAGAGCAAAATTTGGTCTTGGAAGCCAGCAGGTATGGTAGTGCTCAAGGGAGAGTCTGACTAGCTTGGATGCCCTTTCCAAGCTGGCCCCTCTCCCTTTTCCTTCTCTGCAGCTTGGAGAAGACTGGCAGCATAGCAGACTGGTGGCAGGTGGGGGCCCAGGCTGCCTGTGTCCAAATTCTGTCTCCACCATTGCTCAGTTCCACAGACATAAGCAAGATGCTTACCCTTTCTACACCTTAGTCCCTTGTCTATAAATTGGGGGTGATACTGGTACCTCTCAGGATGTTATAGACACTAAATGGTTGGTTACTTGTATTATATTTTTATTTTCATTCATTAATTTTATTGGTACATCTTAGGTATACAATATGCTGACATTCATTACTGCGAATGTGCACCTTTACATAATTTATCATAGTTCTTATTTTTCCCCCTTCCCCTGCCCTCCCTTCAACCCCTCCACCCCTCCTTATTTACAAAGACTTTGTTTCCATTTTTTTCTTTTCCCATATTTATTCCTTCTTTCCTTTCCCCTGTCCCTCCCACTTCCTCTTCCCCTTTGGACCATTTCTTTTTCTGGACCTTTTCTTCCTATTTCACATATCTATTATACATTTTCATCCTTATTTACACTTTCAGTTTCTCACACTAGAGAAACTATTCGGTATTTACACACGTGTCCCTATTTATTTCACTTAAGAGGATGGCCTCAATGTGCATCCATTTAGCTATAAATGTCTCTGGTTTCTCATTCTTTATGGCTGAGTAGTACTCCATTTTATTTTTTTAAAACACACATTTTATTTATCCAGTTTTCAGTTGATGGGCACTTGGGCTGTTTCCAAGTTTAAGCTATTACAAACTGCCGCTATGAACATGGTTGCACATATATCACTGTGGTATGATTCTTTTAATTCTTTGGAGAAGATCCCCAGCAGAGGAATAGCTGGGTCAAATGGGACTTCCAATCCTAGTTCTTTGAGGTATCTCCATACTGATTTCTAGAGTGGTTGCACCAGTCTACACTCCCACCAGCTGTGGACAAGGGTTCCTTTTTCCCCACAGACTCACCAGTCAGCATTTGTTATTGGTTGATTTCTTTTTTTCTTTTTTTTTTTTGGTACCAGGGATCGAACTCGGGTCCTTGCACTTACACAGCAGGCAGTGAAACCACTGAGCTAAATTCCCGGCCCTACTTGATTTCTTGATAGCAGCCATTCTTTCTGGGGTGAGGTGAAATCTCAGCATTGTTTTCATTTGTATCTCCTGAACGACCAGTAATGTTGAACAATTTTTTATATGTTTATTTGCTATTTCTACTTCTTTGTCTGAGAAATGCCTGTTCATTTCAGATGCCCATTAACAAGCCATCAGTTTAAATCACAGAACCCATCCTCAGGGCCTTTCATTTTCTTTTTTCTCTACATTGGACTCTGGGTAGAGAAATATCTGTATGGTCTGCCATTTCTCTCAGTCTCTCACTTGTATTATATTTTTAAATGATAGCTAATAAAGTAAGCACTCAAAAATTGTGGGCCATCCTTACCAGTGATGGTAATATCATTCGCAACAGCCAACTCCATTGTCCTTCCCGACTCTCATTCAAGGAAGGCTGGACTTTTCCATCCTGCCAGGCCAACCAAGAAGCTGGAAGGGGAAAAACAAGACAGAAATCTTTGAAAAAATGAAAATATTGTCCTTGGAAGAGGAGAAGAAAGGGTAGCTATAGACGTGGGTGACTTGTATGATTTACTAGATCTGAACACTTGGGGCTATCCCCCAATGATTCAATTTGACTTCCTTGACTTTTAATTTGCTCTAATTTTAGGAACAAATTTTAGCTCTCTTCTGCTCCTCCAATGCTATTGCCAGAGAGGAATTATATACTTTAAGATGAGAAGGGACCTATGAGATCACTCAAGCCAATGGGATAGTGAGGAGTCTCAGGAGAAAGACAGTTGGCTAAGGAAGTTCTGTTCTTAAGGAGGAAAAAACCCACTCTCTGGCTCCCAGGACCAAGTGCAGAGCAGAAAATGGGCCTCTGTGCTGTCGGGGGGCGGGGGGGGGGGGGGGGGCTGCAACATCACACTCCAGCATCTCCACACACACACAAGGACAGACACAGCCCTGTGCCATCAAGAAACCCCAGTGTAGCAGAGGGAGGTGACTAGAGCCCTGCTGTGGATATCCAAGGATACTGAGGGAGCCCAGGGCAAGGGCACCATGCCATCCTGGGAGCACCTGCAGAAAGTGCTCCTGAGGTGCTGGTGACAACTTGAGCTAAGTGTGGAGGGAGGAAGAGAAGTAAACTTGGTGGGGCTGGGTATTTAGCTCAATGGTTCTGCTTCCTGCCTCACAAGTGCAAGTTCCCAAGTTCAATCCCCCATACCAAAAAAAAAAAGAGAGAGAGAAGTAAACTTGGGCAAAGGGATGGAAAGATGCTCCTGTCAGACTGAAGAGAACGAACAAGCAGGTCAATGTGGCTGTAAGCTAACATGCCAGATGTTGGAGGTGGATGAAGCTGGAATGACCAAGGGTTTGAGGGTACAGGAAGGAATGTGCCATTCGAAGGAACAGAATTTGAGCTTGGAGAATGGGAGCCCTCAGTGGGCTCAGTTACGCAGAACAACTGCAAGCCAGTGCACAATCTGAAGAAGAGATACAAGGTCTGGTTGGGTGGAGGATGAAGTGGGGTGTCCGGGTCTGGAGGAGGCTGTCCAGTTATCTTTCTCAAAACTTCCCTTCACTGGTTCCTGGTGGGCAACAGGACTTCCCAGAGACCCAGGACACCAGAGTCACAAGGACACTCCACACACGGCCACCCCAGCACAGGCAAGCACCCCGCCCCCTGTGCTAACCATTCTAGTGTATCTGAGTAGTCCCTGCACCCCAACAGAATCCATGTACTTCAGGGGACCACTTTTGACCCTGGGGCATGAAACTTGGGCTCAAATGAGGACAATTCTCCCCCCTCCTCAGCCCTCTGTCAAAGTGCTTCCTTTTAGTTGGGCGAGTGATTCAGTAAGGGGCACTGGAACCCACGCAGCACTCTTCTGGGGGTCCTGAGAGGTGAAACGTGCAGGCCAGGGGCAGCTGCTGCTGTTTCTAACAGGAAGAATGGCAGCCCTCAGACACAGCTGGCCAAAAAGGACAGCAAAAGGCCAGAGAAACAGAACCAAGGCCCTGATGACAAGGTGCGACTGGATCAAACTGGGCCTGAAGCACGTATCCCTCCCCACAGAACAAGTCTCTGGACTCTTCAGTTACCTAAACCAAAACATTCCATTGTTTTATAGGCTTTTTTTCTATCTCTTGAAAGCTCGGCGCTGAGGGACAATAAAGTCTTCATCTAAAGCACTGCAGCCAGAACGGATCGGCTCTAAACATGTAAAAAAAAAATCACTAGGAGGTTTTCCTGACATCATGTAGAAAATCTAAAATATGTTTGGAATAGAAATCATTTTGGAAAATTCTCTGAGGGGACCTGCCTGGCCAGTCACCGCCAGGCTGGGTCCCCTAAAGCGGTGGTGCGCTGCCACCTGCTGGCCGCAAGGCAGAACGTACTTCAGAAAGTAGCTGGAGCGTGAACTCCGGGAGAGGCCTTGAAGATCCTGGAGAAGGGGTAAGCTCTTCTGGGACAGCGCGTATTTCTGAGATGTTTTGGATTTTGAGTAGAATGTGTTATTTTTATAGTCAGAAAAAAATAGAGATATTTACTTTGGAAAAATGTAGTATTTCATATCTTGTGACATTTATTTTTTATGCTTCACTATTTTCATAAAAACCTTGTTCCTTGAAAAAGCAACAGCTACAACCACGAACACCACAGCCAAAGCTCGGTCCCATCTCTCCTGGAAACACGAGCGCACACCGCCCCCCCCCCCCGCGCGCGCCCTGCCCCCACTAACTCCGCCTGAAGCAGCAGCCCCTTCCAGAGTTCTCCAGTCGTAAGGTTGAGAACTCTCTGCGAAACCTTGTCTTTTAAACCCAGCGGTTAAGCACTTTAGGAATTGTTTACCCTGTTCTTGATACAACTTTGGTATTTCTGCACAGTAACCTCTTTGGAATTTGATATCTCTTCTATTTCCTCAACCCAAACTGAGGTCATAAGAATGCCATTCCAGCGGAGGAGATGGTGACGCTCACCTGGAATCCTAGCATTCTAGGAGGCTGAAGACGGATGCTCGCAAATTCGAGCCCAGCCTGGGCAATTTAGCAAGACCCTGTCTCAAAATAAAAAATAAAAAGGGCTAGGGCCCGGGGTTTAGCTCAGTGGTGCCGCTGCCTGCCTTGCAAGCACAAGGTCCTGAGTTTCATCCCTGGAACCAAAAATAAATTAATTAAATTAAAAATAAAAAAGGACTAGAGATATAGTTCAGTAACTCAACTGAGCCCTGGGTTAAATCCCCAGTAAAAAAAAAAAGGAAAAAAAAGAATCCCATCCCAAATGCTGTTTGGAGTTCCTGCCTGGCCAGGACCCGGAGAGCAGCAGCAGCAGCCGTCCAGCAGGTGGCGCCCAAACCAGCCTTAACGGCTGGAACGGTGACCTTCCCCAAATCCTCCCTTTACTACGCGCTCTCAGCCTGCCAAAGGGTGGACTTGGGTGTCACTGGAGTTTGGCTTCTGTTCCTCTGGAAGCACTGAAACTCACACGGGCCTGACACCTGCCGATCCGGCTGGCCCCCTCCAACGACCGTTTCCGGTGTTGCCCAACCCCGCGGCCCTTGGCCCTGGCTGGGGCTGGCTGGGCACCTGCCCAGGGGCTCGCACAATTGATCTGCGTTGGGCTACCGCGGGCCACCGCACCCCCTGGCCCCGAACTTGCACTTCCCGGGTCTCTGCGCAGCGCGGCCTGCACTGTCAGTCCGCCATATAGGAGCTGGCCCCGCAGCCAGGCTGCTTTTCCTTGACCCTTCTCAGCTAGTCCCGGAGCTGCTCCCAACATCCTCAGTCCCCACACACATGTGACCCGGAGCTCTCCAGGCCAGCGTGATCTGGCCCCATCCAGCCACCTCCTCTTCGCCTTCCTCCCTCCTTGTCTCACTCGGGGACATTGGTGGAACCTGGGTCCTAAAAGCTAGGCTTCTTCCTCATGGTTTCAAGATTCACAGCCTGTCGCCCATGCAGCTACCACGTGGTGCCGGGAATTTCTCGCCAACCCAGCTCCGGGTGGACCACCCATCCGAGGCCCACCAAGCCCTGCGACTACCCAGGCCCGCCACAACCGCCACCTCCCTCGGATGTCCACTGTGTTGTGAGGTCAGGGTCACCAACCCACAGCTCTGGCAGTGAGGGCTCAGGGACATGAGCAGAACCCCTTTCCTGCTGTGTGTCTGTCTCTCCTCCTTCAGAGACCATGAACAAGAGCCTTCTCTGTGAACCGCCCTCCCTGCACTTGGAAATGGAGACACCTGTGCTGGGAGTGCAGCGCCCTTGCCTTGGTTCCCAGGCCCCTCTGTCCCAGTCCCCGGGGGACCCACAGCAGTCTCTGCTGAAGTAGGCAGGGCCCTGCGATCCCCCTGCCTGTGGTTTCTATAACCAGCTTCACAACTGGCTTCTTCACTTACTAGTACTGTGCAACTTCAGGCAAGCTACTGAACCTCTCTGAGCCTCAGCCGGCTCTTCTGTACATGGCTGTGATAGTTGGATCTGCCCCCTAGGGTACTGTAAAGTGGCAGATACCTTTGAAGACAGAAACATATTTTCCTCCATTTTATATTCCCAGCACCGAGGATGTGCTTGACATACAGTGAGTCCTGTATGTCGGGTTGAAATATTTGATAGAACTATGTTTTCTCATTTAGGTATTATTTGAGGATTTTTTTTAAAAGGTGTGGGTTAATTTGTAGCAAGACTTTTATTGTAATAAATAAACAAGAATTTAACTATTTTAACTCTTTTCAACTGCACAGTTCACTGGCTTTAAGTACATTCACACTTTTTTGGAGACATATGGCTTTTGTTTGTTTGTTTTTTGGTACTGGGGATCAAACTCGGGACCTTGTGCTTGTGAGGCAGGTGCAGGAACCACTGAGCTAAATCCCTGGCCCTCATAAGGCTTTTTTAAAACCTCTAACAGCCAGCACAGGGCAGGGAAGAGAAGCTGAGCCAATGTGGCTCGTGGGCATGAAGAAAGAAGTGCTGTCCAGAAGGCAGCACCCGGCACAGGCTGCGCCCTGTCACTCCTGCAGCCCTCAGCACAGTTCTCCACACAGCGGTGCCCTAGAAATGTGACCCTGGGCACACAGGAGTCACACAGGGACAAGGGCACAGAGCAGGGCCCTAAGACAACGTTTGGGCCCCACCAAGTTTTCCTTTAATAAGATTTTAAGTTGGTTTTAATAACCTGCACTCCCACATAAAAACTTTATTTTGGTTTCTCTTGAAAAACGTGAGGCTCTGGCAGCTCTGGACTTGTTCTGGGATGATCACTCTGAGTAACAGCTCTGGGGAACAGGGATGAAGTTTCCAACACGTGACAATGGGAACACAACCGGAGCATTCACCTGCACTGGCACCTCCAGGGTTTGGCTTGTAGAATGCCACCGTGCAACAACATCAGCTCTGGACAAACCAGTGTACCACACTATGGTGCATTCGGTTGTCACAGACAGATGCACAAGTCTCTGTCACCTGCCAGTCCCCCCAGCTTTTGCAGTGTCCCTGCCCGGGTGCGGCACAGTGGAGAGCAAGGTACCAGGCAAAACTGTAGCACAACTTTGCCGCATCCTAAAACCAGCTCCCGAGGCTGGGACTGGAGCTGTGGTCAGAGCACCGTGATGTGAGCTTCCCTCCCCTTTCCTTCCCCGAGGGACCTGATTTCTGCGATACCTCTGCAGCCTGTGTTTGACCCCGTCCTTTCAAAAGCTAAAGGAAATGAGGGTTTTTTTCCCTCTCCTCCTTTTTACAAAGCCCTTTCTCACAATTTACCTCAAAACTCAGGCCAACTGCGTCTCATTAGCAGCGTTCTTGAAAAAGAATCCAAGACTGGCAATAGAAAAGCCAGTCAGGTGAGGCAGTTTTGAGATAAAACAAGTTCGTATAGTGACTAGCTCCAGATTGCCTCATGGTCTTGTTTGGCAGGTAGAGATTTATCCCTGATAGCATACCAGATGTCACACTTGCTCCACTAAGACATTGGCTTTTATCTCCAGCAGTTCCTGATGGAAGAGATACAGAGAAAAGACTAGAGCCTTGTTTAAGCGGGGACTAGAGTGTTTGTATCCGGACACAGGAGAAGAGCAGATCATCTGAGAGCTTCCAATCTAGGGCTTAACAGCTTTTTTAAAAAATCAAACACTTTAAAGCAAAACAGAGAGGCAGTTGTACATTTTGCAATCACTTGTGTAAGGGAAATAACATGCTCCTGATCCAAGAAGCGGCAATCATCTAAAACAAGATGCCCTGCTTGGCTCTTCTAGAAGAAAAACAAAGGCTTCCAGAAATTGTCTATCAGCTTGTTAGAGCCACTGTCACTTGACAACCCTCACTGTGACAAACTAACTCCTCTGAGACTCATTTTGCCGGGAGTGGCAGCCTCTTCCCATACAGGGCCCAGAGCAGCTTCCTGCCCTGGGCCTTTTCTGCCCCTTCCTTCCTCTTTCTGTCCACTCCTCAGTCCTGGTGGGACTTTCTGGCTTGGCAAATGTGAGTGCCAAGGCTCCTCGGCAAGTCACACAACCCACTGCAAACTGGCTTAGGTGACGGGGCGGCCCTCATGCGCTCAGCGACACTGATCCCCCAGACCTCTGCCAGGAACGGGGTCTGCTCCCAGCTCCTTCTCTTACTGTCCTTTAGGGAGATTGTTCCATCACAAGCTCCTGTTTGTCCCAGGCAGGGGCTCCTGTACAGCTGGCCCTTGGAGCTTGTCCTGTACTCGGGCTTACTCAGAGGAGTGGGGAGAGGATTCAGTCACTTTACACCACTGGGTTTGGTCAGTGGCTGTGGCAAGCGTGGGCACTGTCCTGGGGTGAGCTGCTTCCAGCAGAGGAACCCTATGGGTAGGAGATGAAGGATCACCTGGTTAGTTTCAGGGTGAGGTCAGGAGGAGATTCTAGTATTTTCCATGGCTACCAAAATAACTTTTTCCCAACTTGCAGCATAAATATGTCTTATAGTTCTATAGGTAAGAACTCTAACACGGGTCTCAGCTAAAACGAAGAGGTCAGCAGGGCTGCCTTTCTTTCTGGAGGCTCCTGGCCTTTTCCAGCCTCTGAGCCACCAGTTTATGGCCCTTCCTCCACTTCAGAGCCAGGAATGTTGTGTTTTTCTTGGAAGCTTCTTCTGTCATCATGACTCCCTCATGTTGACCACAGATGGGGAAGATTCTCCTCTTTGAGGATTCATGTGACTGGATTGGGCCTACCCATTCTACTGAGGACAACCACCCCATCTCAAATATTTAACTTTAATCATATCTTCAAAGGCCCCTGTTTTGGGTTTAATAATTCAGATGTTGAAATCCTAACCCCCAGAATGTGACCTTATTTGGAAAGAGTTTTTCCAGATGCAATTAGTTAAGATAAGATCTTAAAGTGGGCCCTAATCCAATAACTGGTATCCTATAGGAAAAGGAGAAATTTGGACATAGATCAGGAAAAAGACAATGTGGAAAGATATAAAGAGAAGACAGTCGTCTGCAAGACAAAGACAAAGGGGGAGACCAGGAACAGATACTTTCCTCATTGCCCAAAAAAGCCAACCTGCCAGAACTATGAGACAAGAAATTCCCATGATTTAAGCCACCCAGTTCATGGTACTTTGTAACAGCAACCCTAGCAACTAATATCCCATTTTTGCCATGTAAGGTAGCATATTCACAGGTTCTGGGGATTAAGGACATGGGCATCTTTGGCCAGGGAGGGGCATTATCCTGCCTACCACCACATTAGATGGTGGGTCTTCACCTACCATTTCAGGTGTTCACTTTACTTTGTCTTGGTTTTGTGCTCAGTAGCCCCTTTCTACCATAAATGACAGAATTCCCTTGACCATAGGGGTGGGCATATCAAGAGCAGATTCCAAACAACTGGTCTTTGCATGGCAACATTGTCCAGCTTCAGACATGCTGTAATTACAATGAAAGGTGCTGGTATTTTCTGCCACTTTTAGGTGCACTATTGTGTTTGCA